CGCGATAGATACGGCTTCATGAGACTTCGGGAGAAAAACCTTGCAGTTTGCTTCCGTAAAAGATTACAGCCAAGAAAACACTATGGGGCAGTTCTACTCTGTCACATGGGGTCGCTATGAGTTGGAATGGACTTGACGTCACCCAACAACAACAACATGAGTCTTGAGTTCAGGAGCGAGTTAAGTGGGGACAGAGACAGGGCACGAGTTATCCCTTCTGCTGATGCATTTGGACCTGAAGTGGTGTGATTCCAGAGTTAGCAGCTGTATCAGAGGCTTCTCCATCCAGCATGTGGCTTCCTGATCGCCAGAAGCAGTAGTTCCTGGAATTTCAGCGAAGAGCCACGTTCTTAGCTCTCACAAGGATTCTATGAGCCACTTGATACCCTGTGGTTCATTTCTGCTAAATCTAGTTGATATGGATTCTTTTCTCAGCAACTAAAATTTGAACGACTAGTAAATTATCTACTCACAAGCTTGAGCTAAAAAGGTGATAATTTTTCTAAATTCCTCTCTCTCCCTGACTCACCATGACTAATTGGTCCACAAACGTTGTCCAAATAAGTTAATAACTGTAAAAGTACTCAGCATAGGGCAACAATAGGATCCACTGGTTCTCTTTCTCTTCACTGTTTTGCTAATAAGGTCAGGCTGTAAGGGAAGAGAAAGCTTAGTGGATTCAAGGAACTGAAAGGTCAGTGTGCCTGGAGCAGGGTAATCAAAGGAAGTAATCAATGTCAGAGAGGTGGGCAGGTCCCAGATTTTGCCACACCCTTCGGATTCTGTTAAGGATTTTGTATTTTGTCCTAGGGACAATGAGAAACCATTTTAAACAAGGAAGTGACATGATCTAGTTTGCATTTTAGAAAGACTTTGGCAGCTTGTGGATAATGGTTGGAGTGGGGAGAGGGTGCGTAATTCGGAAGTGGAGAGATCTTTCCAGGCAAATACCCAAAGTACTACCTCATTCTTTTATAATTGCTGAGTAATAATGGTGGGGTGGGGGGTAGGAATCCTATTAACACCAACAACAAAACAATGAATGGTCTAGGAACTTGTCTAACAAGAAATGAGAAAGCCCTATGTAGACTATGAGACTGTGGTGACAAGCATACAATCATTTTATAAGTGAAGAGACAGTATTTCTAAGTGTCAAGACTCAATACTGCAAAGATGTCAATTCTTTCTGAATTAATCTATAAAATCAATACAATTCCAACCAAAATCCAACAATATTTTTTGACCTTGGCAAACCAAGTCCTTAAGTTCATTTGGAAGGAAAAATCATAAAAAATGCTAAGAAATTTTAGAAGTACAAACAATATGCGTGTGTGTGTGCGCGCGCGCGCCCTTCTGGATATCAAAGCCTAATTCAAAATGATACTGATTTAAACAATGTAACATTGAGAGAATAGAAATTGGCCCAGGAAGAAATATCTAAACTAATAGAATACAATAAAGAGCCCCAAGCAGAACTATATATTTTTATAAAAATTCAAAATAAAGTATAGTCTGTTGTTGTTGTTAGTTGTCATCGAGTCAATTCTGACTCATGGGCATTTTAAATCATTTCAGAAAGAATAGCCTATCCAATAAATGGCATTTTGACAATTGGCTATCGATTTAGGAAATAATACTGGAGTCATTATTCCCTGTCCTGGAGCATAGAAAATGTGACCCAGCTGGAGCTAGACGCAAAAGGACTCACAATTACACATCAACTGGGCCCTGAGGTATAAAGACAATAGCTAGGACAATCTTGAAAAACATCTTTTAGGGAACCTTTCACATAAATCATAAAACAGAGCACAAAAGAGTTTCCACTGTTATCTTTTTCTATTAGCATTTACTGAATAGTAAAATTTGTTGGACCAATGAAGACCCTCCCGACCGTCCTTACTGAAACCTGTACCAGTGATTGTGATTTAGGAAACGATATTGGAGTCATTATTCCCTGTCCTGGAGCACAGAGAATGTGACCCAGCTGGAGCTGGGCCCACAAGGACTCACAAGGACACATCAACTGGGCTCTGAAGTATAATAGCTAAGATATCTTGGAAAATATCTTTTAGGGAAACTTTCACATAAAGCTGATCAAATACAACACAAAAGACTTTCCACTCTTATCTTTTTCTATTAGCATTTAGTGAATAGAAATTTGTTGCACCAATGAAGACCCTCCTGACTCTCATTACTGAAACCTGTACCAATGATTGTTAAGAAGGACAATTCAAAATGTTAGGATCACAGTTTCTAGCCAATCTGAAAAGGCTAAGCTTTCAGTGGTTTTGCCCGTTTGTAATGTTAATATATACTGATGGCTCTGTGACTATTCTTTGGACTCCAGCAGACATGGCTGTGGCAGCATGCTTGTCTGTTTTCCCACTTTTGTCTGTTCTGTGATATTTCCTTGGACTCGGGCAGACATGGCTCTAGCAGCATGCTTGTCTGTTTTCCCACTTTTGTCTGTTCTGTGATATTTCCTTGGACTTGGGCAGACATGGCTCTGGCAGCATGGTTGTCCGTTTCCCACTTCTGCCCTTTTGAATATATGCCGAATAAAACTTTTTGCTTTACTCAACTCTGTGATGTTTTTCCCCTACTACAATTGTTAAGAAAGACAATTCAAAACGTAGGATCACAGTTTCTAGCCAATCTGTGGAAAGGTGAAGCTTTCAATGGTTTTGCCCGTTTGTAATGGTAATATCTGTTGATGACTCTATAGGACTCAGGCAGCCGTGGCTCTAGCAGCCCGTTTGTCCATTTTCGCATTCTTGCCTGTTCTGTAATATTCTTTGGACTCAGGCAGACATGGCTGTGGCAGCTTGCTTGTCCGTTTTCGCATTTTGCCTGTTCTGTAATACTTCCTTGGACTCGGGCAGATATGGCTCTAGCAGCATGCTTGTCTGTTTTCCCACTTTTGCTTATTCTGTAATATTCCTAGGACTCGGTCAGACATGGCTCTGGCAGCATGGTTGTCCATTTGCTACTTTTGCCTCTTTGAACATATGCCGAATAAAACTTTCTTTCTGCTTTACTAAACTTTGTGATGTTTTCAGCCTACAACACTATCCATTTGAGGAAAAAAGTTAGAGCGTTACTTCAACTTTCTAGCCACATTGTTTTTGCTTGTTTCTATATCTGTTATTTTATCTCCAAATATTACATAGAAACCCCGAGTATGTCCCCTGGACACGCTTTTTTTTAAATTTTTTTTATTGTTGTAGTTTAAATGAAGTTTACCTTTCAAGTTAGTCTCCCATACAAAAATTTATACATACATTGTTATGTGACCCTAATTGCTGTCCCCATACTGTGACGGCACACACCTTTCCACCCCTGATTCCCCATGTCCATTCAACCAGCTCCTAACCCTCTTCGCCTTCCTGTCTCACCTCCGGACAGAAGCTTCCCTTTTAGTCTCTTGTATCTACTTGAGCTAAGAGACACACTCCTCACCAAATATCACTTTATGTCCCACAGTCCAGTCCAATCCCTGCCCCAGACACCCATTTTCACTCAGTACTGAAGTCACTCCTGAGGTTCACCGTTCAGCCAAAGATTAGACAGACCTATAAAACAAACAATAACACACATAGTTCAACCATGCATATGAGACTAAATGGGCACACCAGCCCAGGGGTGAGGGAGAGAAGGCAGGAGGGGACAGGAAAACTGTATGAATGGAAATGGGGAAACCAAGGGTGAGAAGAGGAGAGTGTTGCCCTGTCACAGAGTTGGCAACCAATGTCAAAAAACAATTTACGTATTGATTGTTTAATGAGAAACTAATTTGCTCTGTAAACTTTCACCTAAAGCACAATAAAAAAACAACAAATATTACATAGAGGCCTCTCACAAATAAATATTTAAATTGCTCTTAGGAATTTATTATTAACAGAGATTCTTTTTTAAGGGGAGGCTCAGGTTCATAGAGCTGAGTTCCTTTAGAACCCTAACATAATTTAGCAATCTTATTCAACCATTGCTTCATTAAATGGTCTTTGAACCACACTTATTGTATTAATTCTCTCATTAATTAATGAGTTGAATGAAATCTTTGAAATATTTTCATTCTATTTGGTAATAGATCACGTTTTTAACTATCTTTTTTAATATATACTTTGACAATATTAATCCCTTGTTAGAAATATGTCCCTCTTTGCATCATCTGCCTATTAACTTGGTCGATGAAGTCCTTCTGAAGTTTTAAGTAGTCCTCTACCTGTCCCTCGCCAAGATAGCCCTCTTATGGGATTTCTGCACAATTTTTAACCTCCCACTTGTTCTGCCTTAGGGAGTTCTGATGGGAAGGTTCTATTAATTAAAGCTGAATTACGGTTAGAGAACAGTCTAGACTTAGGATCAAATAAACTCCATTACCATCTCGGTTATATGTATTTGGGGCAGAGGGTGGAGGGAGAAATGGGGTGTGCTATGTGCCTGACTTTCCCTGTTTCGCTGAAGCCCATCGCTGTCAGGAGAGTCCAAATGTTACAAGCATGAGCAATAACCTGATACTGGGCTGGCATCCCCAAGCTCTTATTTTTTAATTTGTCCAGCCTGTGTTTGGGGTTAGGGCCCTGCTGGTGCAGTGGTTAAGAAATCGGCTGCCAGCCAAAAAGTCAGCAGTTTGAATCCACCAGCAGCTCCTTGGAAACCCTATGCCGCAGTTCTACTCTGTGCTACACGGTCGCTATGAGTCGGAATCGCCTCAACGGCGACGGGTTTGGGTTTTTTGGTTAATGTTTGGGGTCGATGGTAGGTTTCTGCTCCTAAATGGGAAAATTCTTGGAGTGCATGAAAATATGCTCTCATTTGGGCTTGGTGGGCAGAGGGCAGTTGTGGGGACGCGAGGCTGCAGTCTCCCGGGCGCAGGAAGGCTTCGGGGCGGGGAAGCAGAGTCCGGGGCGGGGCCGGACGCGCTGTCATCTGACTCGTGACTTCGGCGGGGAGGGGTAGTGCGGAAAGTCAGGTCTGGCAGGCCCCAGTCCCAGCAGACGCGGCAGAGCAGCGAGCGGCCATGCAAAGAAGTCCGCTGTCGCCTCGCCGCCCGCGCGGGCTGTGCCCACTGATGCTGCCTGGGCTGCTGGCGCTGCTGCCCGCGCTGGTAGCGGCGAGGACCCTGGGCGACCAAGCGGCCCTGTGGCCCCTGCCGCTCTCCGTGGAGATGTTCCCGCGCCAGCTGCTTCTTGCCCCCAGGAACTTCTCCATCGGCCACGGTCCCAATTCCACGGCCGGCCCCTCCTGCGCCATCCTGCAGGAGGCTTTTCGGCGGTGAGCGCTCCCGAAGGGGCGGCCAGTAGAGCAGGGGACCTGGGGATCCAGGGGGCAGGAGAGGCGGACCATCCCTGGGACATTGTGCAGACGCGGGGGGCATGGGGAGGAAGACCTGAGCGCCTCTCAGGATCCTCACCACCACCCAGCTACTTGGGGGTTCTTAGCCCCATTTCACAAATGAGGAAACCGTCTCATGGCGGTCTAGAAACCTGACCAAAGTCACAGGGCCGGAAAATAGCAGAGCCGGTTGGAACCCACACCGACTGAAAGCCAAGCTCCTTTCCTTCACCTCCTCGCCTCGTAAGGGACACCCTGGGTGCTTCGGAGCCCTAGTTAGGATGCAGGACACTGAGTGGAAGGAGTAAGTTGCTCAGAATCAGTGGCCGTGTTCCGCCTTGGATCAGATGGACAAGGGGGTTCCCCTTTCTCCAGAATTGGGGAGGAAGGGAGGGAGGAAGTGGCAACTACTTCTTTGAAGAAAATTGTAAAAGTAAGAAGAGTGCATCTGGGATGACTTAGACGAGCCCCTCCTTGAGGACCAGGGACCCCCCCCCCCAAAGTTGTCAGCTGTCACTTACAGGCCCGTCTCACTCTTTCTCCCTCCCCAAATCTGGTAGAATTCAGATGGCAGGGAGCATTGACTAAAACACCTCTATCCTTCCGAAGTCACTACTCCATTTAGTGTGAGAAGTTTCCATCTAACTACTCTTATGCCGCCAGTGCTTACGCAGTACTTGCCGTACCCCCACCGACCCCCCCCCCCCCCGCCAATACCAGTCATGTGCTTGCTCTCCCTGCTTCTTGTTTGTTTTTTGTTTTTTAAGAAGAAAAAACCCAAACCCGTTGCCATGGAGTCATTCCGATTCACAGCGACCCTACAGGACAGAGTAGAACTGCCCCATAGGGTTTCCAAGGAGAGGCTAGTGGGGAATTCAAACTACCAAACTTGGTTAGCAGCCATAGCTCTTAATCACTGTGCCACCAGGGCTCCTACTTAGCACTTGATATTTAGAAGCCCTCTCGCTTCTCTAACCCCTTGGGCCACACACACACAAACCAAACCCACTGCCATCAAGTCCATCCCAACTCACGGCAACCTCATGTGTCACAGACAGGGTGAATTTTATAATGGGGAGGTAGTCACAGCTCTAGCTTTGCTAAACACGAGGTATACAAGTAAGTTGCATTTACGGAGGTAGTTAAACATGCCACTTGCTGTCCCCTCGGTGTGAGACCTGTGTAGGTGGGACTGTCCTGAGGGAGGTGGTGTCCTGAAGGTGTGTAGTTTGGTGCTGGCTGTACTGCCACCTCACACCCCCAATCTCTATCTCAGTTCCTGATGGGCAATTATAACTTAATTGTACCTGAAGGACAGCAAACAGCTGGTGGAAAATTACAAAACTAGTTTAGTAACATGTTCTGGCCCCAAGATATTCCTGGCGCTTAAACTTGGGCTGAAGAGGCAGAGGGCAGAGATGGTTCTCTCCTGTTTTGCTCAAGTCAAATGGATATTGTTACCCTCCTATTTTAGACTCATACTTTAATGAGCCTTTGGTATTGAATCTGCTGACAGATCAGAATGGCTGGAATCAGGGTGAAGAAATAAAACCAAAGTGGTTCGTTGCTTTGGGATATTGAGAAGGATTTCATGAAAACGTACTTGAAGGTCACCTAAAGGTATATGATGGCTAGGAGTGGAAATCTTTTAAAAGCAAACACATCATGTTTGCTTTCAGCCTCAGTTTGTAAAACTAAAACTTCCTTTTGTGCCGTACTGCTAGAAAAAATAAGAACTTAGTAATATGCTGAAGTGGTATGAGTATGGCAAGAAAGCATGGTGAATTAACAATGATAAATAACCAGGAGCGGTATCAGCTGTGAGATGATTTAAAAACAAGGCTTGGCACTTCCATGCAGTTGCCTAACTAATTCATGCCCTGTGTGTTAAGAATTTATTAATTATACCCTGCATTGTTAGGAAGCTGGTTATAAAACATATTTCCCCATACGGCTAAGACTTGAAAGCATTCACATGAGCCTTCTAGGAACTTAGAAGAGGGAGTGTCTATCTCAGAGTAAAAGCACAGTAGGGTTGGAAGGATTTAGAGACAATGGAAATGTTTGGAAAACTCTAGGTGGTCGGGAACACACAGTATAGGCCCTAGATGGTTCAGAATCACGTGGCTCCCGTCTCATATCACAAACCTCGGCTTTGAAACAGTATGCTTTTGGCAGGTTTTGGCATCTTACGTGTACAACTGCTACCTCAGCTTCTAGAACAGGGTCCACCACATGCTTGTTGTTAGGTGCTGTCGAGTCCATGCCGACTCATAGCGACCCTATGTACGACAGAACGAAACACTGCCCGCTCCTGCGCCATCCTCACAATCATTGCTATGTTTGAGCCCACTGTTACAGCCACAGGGTCAATCCATCTTGTTGAGGGTCTTCCTCTTTTTCACTGATCCTCTACCAAGCATGATGTCCTTCTCCAGGGACTGGTCCCTCCTGAGAACATCATCAAAGTATGTGAGATGAAGTCTCGCCATCCTTGCTTCTAAGGAGCATTCTGGCTATACTTCTTCCAAGGCAGATTTGTTGGTTCTTCTGGCAGTCCACGGTATATTCAATATTCTTCTCCAAGACCATAACTTAAAGGCATCAGTTCTTCTCTGGTCTTCTTACTCATTGTCCAGCTTTCACATGCACATGAGGCATTTGAAAACACCATGGCTTGGGTCAGGGGCACCTTACTCCTTAAAGTGACATCTCCGCTTTTTAACACTTAAAGAGATCTTTTGCTAGTCATTGATTTTTTTTTTTTTTAATATGAATAAGTAGCCTTCACTCCCTCAGTTCCTGAAAGGCTAAATTAACCAAAATACCTTGGACATCACTGCCTCAGAGCCCTTTGAATTTTCTGCTAGGACTTTAATATCCAGGGTGAGGGTTTCCTTATTTGGGACAAGCCAGCACCTAATTTAGATCTCCAAGCTGCCAGTAGCCTTAATTTCCTTTTGAACCTGTCAAGGTTTTCCTATGAGAAGAGCTCTTGGCATCTTCATCCATTCCACTCTCTCACTGATTAACTTCCACGCACTTCCAGACTCATTGGAACTTTCCTTCCTCGCTTTACTCTCTGGAAAAACACAAGACAGTCTTACACACTGGTAGCATATTCAAACTTCTGCCTTATCAAAATCTAGAAAATATGATTTCAACAGTTGCTTGGCAGCCTATCTGATCTTTTTATCTGTTATCTAATTTATATTTAATATTCTCTCTCTCTTATATTTGAGTACAAATGGAAGGTAAATTTTAAAGACTAGTGAGAATTCTATGGGTTGATGACATTTCTTTTTGTGGTTGGTATATCAGCTAGGATGCTTTTGGTGGCAAGTAACAGGAAATCTGACTCAGTCTGGGGTAAGCAATAAGAAAGTAGTTATCTCACATATCAGGAGGTGGAAAAGCAGGGAAGATTTTAGTCCTTTCCAAGAGCTAGTTGACTGCGTGGCTCACTGTGTCATCAGAGATCCATGTCTCTTCCATCTCTGCTCTGCCATATTCAGTGTGACTGCAACTGCTCCAGGTCTCACATACAGAGAAAGAAGAGAAACTGTCTCTTCTTATGACTCTTCTGGAGAGGAAATGTCCCAGAAATGCTGCCCCCTCCCACACACACACACATACCCCTCATTTGCCAGAATTGGTTCACACACCTAAGAGTGATGGGATTACCATGATTGGTTTGACAACTGGTTCTTAACCAGAGGTTGGAGTGGGTGGGGGGTGGCGGGGATAGGTTTTAAAATTCTCACACCTGGATCCCAGTCCCAGAGATTCTAATTTTGTAGGTCTGGACATCAGTATTTTCCAAAAGGTCCCCAGGCAATTCTAATGTGCAACTTGGGCTGAGAGACTGTACTTGGACTGATGTTGGGTGGCATGGATTTCAGGAGTCAACTACAATGTCTGCTAACCAAAACCTGTTGACGTCAAGTTAATTCTAACTCATGGCAACCCTGTAAGACAGAGTAGAACTGCCCCATAGGGATTCCAAGGCTGTAATCTTTATGCAAGCAGACCACCACACCTCCTGCGGAGTGGCTGATGGGTTCGTACCACCAACCTTTTGGTTAGCAGCCGAGAGCTTAACCACTATACCACTAGACCCCTTACAATGTCCACTACCACATATACATTTAAAACTTGGCCTAAAATGTTTTTACACTTTGTTTAAATTTATTTCTCACACAGATATTATGAGTATATTTTTGGTTTCTATGAGCAGCACCATGGCCCTACTAGATTTTCTACTGGAACAGAGTTACAGCAACTTCTTGTCACAGTTGTCCTTGACTCAGAGTGTGATGCTTTCCCCGGTATCTCTTCAGATGAGTCGTGTGAGTACAAATTTAATGAGAGTGTATCCTATTCAAAGCTGTTCATTACAGACTTGAGTGCCAGAAACAGTCTCCATGCCACCAACTATTGGGAGTTTTTGGTCAGTGAGTTTCTAATTCCTATTTTTAAAATAGTCGTTAAAGTCTGATTGTAAAAGTAATGCATAATTGTTGTAGAAAATCTGAAAGTACAATAAGTACAAAAGAAAAGGAAATAAATCATTCATAATCCCAGCACTCAGAGTTAACCACTGTTATTTCAGGTGTATACTTTTTTGCAGAGTAATATGTTTATATGTTTTATATAGATATGAATATATGATGTTGTTGTTGTTTGGTATTGTTGAGTCGATTCCGACTCATAGTGACCCCACATGACAGAGTAGAACTGCGCATAGGGTTTTCTAGGCTGTAATCTTTATGGGAGCAGATCACCAGGTCTTTCTCCCTCGGAGCCACTAGGTGGGTTCTAACTGCCAACCTTTTGGTTAGCTGCTGGGTGCTTAACTGTTGCTCCACCAGGGCTTCCTAAAATTCGTGACAAACATTGATATAAAATGAGGTAATTATATATGTGTGGTCTTTGTATTGTGCTTTTTTCACACAACAATACATTATAAATGTTTGTGTATTTCACTAAATATTCTTCTATAACATCATTTTTTATGGCTGAGTTATGTTCTACCATTGTATGGATGTACCTAATGGCTAATCCCTTGTTTTTGGACATCTAAATGATTTCCTAACAACATTATCTTTGAAGACAAATCTGTGCTTATATCCATGACCTATATTTACACTCTAATTGACACAAAGTTACCTTGGGGAGATGGAGCTATAGCATTTGATAATATAGTCAGTATTTAACTATACGATCTTTTGTTGCTTAAAACATTATTCTCTAGTGTTTTTCCCAAATTGTTTTGGAGGGAATACACACATGGGCAGGCCTTTTCTATAAGGCGTATTGGCTGGGAATAATGTGGAATTGCATTAAGGAATCAAAGAGGAGCACAGGCAAAATGAGGACACGAGTAACATAAAATTAGTGCAAGAGAGAACAGACTGGTGAGTTGGGTTTAAAGAGGGAAAGGATACTGCATATCTCAGAGAAAGGAGTACCCCTTTGTCCTCAGACTCCCCTGTAGTTAGGTACATCTTTTCTGAGACTCATGGCCCAGCCAAGTTGACACATAACCTTAACCATCACAGCAGAGTTACTGTCACCTCACACCTTGGCATTCGTTACTGCCAGACATAGTCAGATAGTAGACTTTTTTACTATTGTTGTAAATGTGAAATGTCAGATAACGAGATAGTCAGTAAGTGAAAAGAAGGTATATTATGTCCATTAGTAGCTATGGAGACGGTGGAGGGACAATTATAGTATAGCATACCTGTGCATCCAGCATTCAGACACTATTTGAATTAAGTTTTGCAATCTGAATTGAGATAGCAGTGATCATTAGATTACCAAGGAATCTTTGCTGTCTGTTCACATCAGGAATACAGATAACATGTTGTAAATTCCAGAAGATGAAATGTATCGAGATTAGAGACTCATAAGCTTGCCTCCCAGCCAGCTCTGCAAACCTCTTTATTCTGAAAGGTAACTTTCTTGAGACAAGGTGATTGTAACATTTTCTGGTCGAAGGATAAACTAGTTTTAAGTTTTTAAACTAGTTTACACTGATGATGATGATTGTAAAAGTAAGACATATACACTGAAATAACAGGACGTCAGATGTTGTCCAGAGTGTGAGACAATGTTGAAAAAAAAGGAAAGTGAAGCACCATCTATTAAAAATAAAGATATGCATACCCTCTCAACCAGAAGTGGACAAGTTTATACTCTAGAGAAATGGTTACATAAATCAAGGATATTTTATACAGCTTGTGTGTAGTAGTAAGTATTGTGTCCATCAATAGAAAAAAGGCTAAATAACTTGTCAATCACACTAACGAGGACTATACAGTAGTTAAGAATAATGAAGCACAGTTATAAATAACACAGAGAGACTGCCAAGGTAAAATGCTGAGTTGAACAGAGAAAGTTGTATACTCATGTCAACAGCATGATACAATTTATGTATCAACACACAAACATGCACATAAAACAATACTGTATTTTCTTGTTACGCGTATGTGCATGTAAATGCCTAGGAATAGGCCTGATAAGGGTTTCCTATGAGGAAGGTAGAGGGAGTTGGGTGAGCATCTTAAAGGGGATTCTAGCTTTATCTATAATATTTTTTTATTTTTAAAGGCACATATATTGATACGTCATTTATATACATACCCTCCATAACCAGCAAAAGTATTTATGGTATAAAAAGATAAAGAAGGCGGTAACTTAAAAGTCAAAGACCTCAGTGCCACTCCTGTTTCACATCAGAGAGTTAATCGTTCTATAGTTTTATGTGTCTATATGTTTAGAAAACCAAATCTCCTTCTAATTTCTATATATTTGTAGTTTTTCCATTGAGTTGAATCCAAATCCTTTTTAATATCAGCCAGTCCTCAGCTACTGGAAAATAATCAGCATCAAATACATGCAACATGTTAATGTTTTTAAATACTCTTTCTGCTATTTGTGAGCGATCTCAAAACATAATGTGGTAAAAAATGTTTTTCAAACAGTGGCCAATGAAATCATGTGTTCTAGGTAGCTGATTAAGAATTTGATATAGATGTAGAGGAAACATGATTAGATTGTGCTCATAATAGCAGTACAGTTCTTAGCCTGGCATTCAGTTAAGTCATCACTGTTGTCTTCTGATGGAAAAAGCTACCTTGTCAGAAGACTGTCACCTGAGTTGGTCGCACGATTGTTGGCTGTTGGTAGAGCTTTTCCCTACCTGCACCAACTGTCCTGTGACAGCCTGGGTAGCAGTGGTGGTGGAAGGTGATGGTCCAGCCCACATCATATAGCATGTAAATCATTAACCTCCAGCCCTTGAGTGTTTTATTGTGGCAAAGTCCACATCTGTCACATCCTTTAGCTGTCAGTCTCTCCTTTAACCCCTCTGGTGCTTTATTTAATCTGTGGTTGACCTCACCCCAAGCCTTCCTAAAAGACTAAATTGGCTATTAAGCCTTCCGCAGAATATGGTTTCAAAGGTTTTAAAGATTAGCCCCCTCCTTGCCCAGAAGCTTTTAACTGAGAGAGAGCAAAGACTGAAAAATCTTGGATTAAGCAGAAGGGAATTAAGGAGTAGGTTTTAAAGCAGATTTAGGATGATACTGGGGGAAGGTGGGTGTTGGGCAAGAAGAGGAGCACAGAATGGAAAACAATGGAGATAACTCTCTGGCCTTAGGGGAGTAGAAGATTGAGTGGTCTGTGAGGCTTCTTCCCCAAGGCATTTTGGGCGCCTGAGGAACGTTTGCATTTTTGACCTACATTTTAGCTTAACTAGAATTTCACTCTGTTGAAAGGCAGTTGGAAAGAATAAATCTCCTGGAGGGGAAAGTAAGGAATCATGGAGATGACACCAAGTTTCTGACTTGGCTGGATGGTGGTGTTGACTCACAGAAATGAGGAACACAGGAGGACAGGCAGATTGGAAGTGTGTGGAGCAGGAAGGAGGAAGAGTCCATTTTGGGGCTTGTAGAGTTTAAGAGATCTACAGACCAACCATCTAAGTGGAGATGTACAGGAGGCAGCTAGAAAAACAGGTCTGGATCTCAGGAAAAAAAATGGTTCTGAAATACCGATTATATGTTTAGGAAATTTACTGTGAGTCATTGAGGGATTAACAGTCAAAAAAATATATTTTTCACCACAGACAGTTTACTTGTGAAAGAACCAGTGGCTATGCTCAAGGCCAACAGAGTTTGGGGAGCATTACGAGGTAAGTTCTTTGCAGTTGCATTGTTATTTTTTATTAAAGGAATATTTTCAGTTGGTACTTTGTGAAATGAAGTGTAGCAAAATGTTGCTTCCTTGGACTCTTTACAGACTGATTTGTCAGGTAGTTCCAAAATGATTTCCATTAAACAAGTACTACTTAAAACACAGGAATGTGAAACGGTAAGTATGCTCTAGAGTTGGTTGGAGGCAGTGGGCAGAGAAGAACCTTAAAAGCTTTTTCTGTGAATTTCAGTCTGAACGTCAAAGTTTGGGCACTGGGATATTTATTTTTGCTGTTCAAAAGCTTCTTTACCACTTCTAGATAGGTAAGATACTGTCTTATAAATAACATAGATTTTAAAAAGGAGAATTTTTTTTTAAATGGGAGTAAAACAAAGTTATAGTAATTAACAATAAAAAATCTTTGGATTTGACTCAGATTAAGCAGTATGTAAGATAAAATAATCATTTTTATGCTGTATTTTTACAGCCATAATAATAGTATGATTATAATCATATTTCAAAATAGAACATGAAAGTATCTCAAAACTCTATGTTTAGTACAGCTGTAACTGATGTTTGACCTGATCCATATCAAAATAGAAAAGAACTAGAGAATGTGCAGCGACTAGATTCTAGTCCAAGAAGTCCTTATTTTCTGTTTACCTTTAGACTTTCAAAGTAATCTCCTCTACACTGGTATTAGAATGTGCTGCCACTTAGCAGAAAATTCTAGTAATTCTGCCCAGTATGAGCCCATAATTGTGGGGGTGTGAAAAAGGCACAGCAAAAATGATTTTGAACTACCAGTATTATTAAGTTAAAAATTTCCCAAATTATAGTTGTCAGCGAGAATGATGAACCTTTGATAAAGTCAAGGCCAGTCACAGGAATTTGCTTATACCATAATGTTAAGGGAACAATCCACTTGAGAAAATAATGTTCACAAAATAGTCTTTGCAGTTATAAGTAAAACACTGTAAGTTATACATTGGGCCTTTATTTTAGTTTCATGGTTTTTTTGTTTGTTTTTTTTTAGGCTTTTCTGTTAAGTTTAGGTACCTTTTAAAGTGACTATAATATTTGATCAAAAAATTGTTTTTCATAATGCTACAAATTTATTAAGGAACATGTTTTACTTTATTAAAATCTTTTAGAGTTTATCATTCAAACAAACCCAGGGTATGGGTACATATGAAGTAGAGCATTTTAGATGAATAGAGAAAGCAACTATATATATATTTTAATTGAGCTTTGATTTCAGAAAACATGTTAGAGGGTGTAGGTATAATATTATGTTTAATTTTATTTGCCTTACCTAGTTATAGGTAGATGTTTGCGTAAGACAATTTTATAAATAACACAATAAATTTCATTTTCCCCAGGTTTAGAGACCTTTAGCCAATTAATTTATCAAGATTCTTATGGGACTGTGAGTATCGTTATTATATGTTACTAAAATTGTTGCCTAGATATATTACTACTAGGAAAATATATAAATAAAAATATAAGTTGTGTAACTATTGCTCCCTGAAGTTTTCTTTTCCCCAAATATTTATCTCTAGTGTAAATTATACTTTTTTTCCCTTGCTTCTAAATTAGTATTTTATCCAATACTTGCATAGATGGATAATTTTTATTAATCTCAAGACAAAATTCTAAAAATCAAAATTTTATTTTGTTTTATAGTTCACCATCAGTGAATCCATCATTACTGATTCGCCAAGGTTTCCTCATAGAGGAATTTTAATTGATACATCCAGACACTATCTGCCAATTAAGGCTATTCTAAAAACTTTGGTAGGTAATTTACTTAATCAATCTAATTAATTTAATCCATTGTCTACTTTGAAAATGTGTCCTCGTATGCTGTTATTTTGTGTTGATTACTTAGACTTGTGTAGATTGAAGCAGGGCTATTCATTTTTCATGTATTACATATGAGCACTGGGCTTTCTTGTGTCCCTCCCTTGGGAGTGTATTTTCGCATCGGTAGAGGTTCTTCTTAAGGGATTGCCCTCCTGTTTCTGTTGTGGGGGCCACAACATATATTCAGACACGATTGTTAAGACATAATTTTAAGTTGTTGTGTGCTGTTGAGTCGATTCCAACACACAGTAACCCTATATGACAGAGAAGAACTGCCACATAGGATTTCCTAGGCTATAATCTTTATGGGAGCAGATCATCAGATCTTTTCTTCTGTGGAGCCACTGGTGGGTTCGAACCACCAACCTTTCGGTTAGCAGCCAAGTGCTTTCCCATTGCACTCTATGTATACATTGGCCCTCTATATAAACTTCCATTTGTCAAATCATGTGTTCATATTTTTGGCTAGAATACACAACAATCGTCCGTCTAGTTGTTGTTAGGTATTTTTAGGTGCTGTCAAGTTGGTTTCGACTCACAGCGACCCCACGCACAACAGAAGGAAACACTGCCTGGTCCTGTACCATTCTCACAATCTTTTCTATGTTTGAGCCCACTGTTGCAGCCACTGTGTAAATTCATCTTGTTGAGAGACTTTCTCTTTTTCACTGACCCTCTACCTTACCCTCTACCAGTCCTTCTCCAGGGACTGGTCCCTTCTGATAACATGTCCAAAGTAGGTGAGACAAAGTCTTACCATCCTTGCTTCCAAGGAGCACTCTGCCTGTCCTTCTTCCATGACAGACTTGTTCGTTCTTCTGGAAGTCCAGTATATATTCAATATTCTTCACCAACACCATAATTCAAAGGAATCAATTCTTCTTCAGTCTTCCTTATTCACTGTCCAGCTTTCGCAAGCATATGAGGTAATTGAAAATACCATGGCTCGGGTCAGGCACACCTTAGCTCTCAAAGTAACATCTTTGTTTTTTAACACTTTAAATAGATCTTTTGCAGCAGATTTGCCCAGTGCAATATGTCATTTGATTTCTTGACTGCTGCTTCCATGGGTGTTGATTGTAGATCAAAGTAAAATGAAATCTTTGACAACTTCAATATTTTCTCCATTTACCATGATGTTGTTTACTGGTTCAGTTGTGAGGATTTTTGTTTTCTTTATGTTGAGGTGTAATCCATACTGAAAGCTGTAGTCTTTGATCTTCATCAGTAAGTGCTTCAATTCCTCTTCACTTTCAGCAAGCAAGGTTGTGTCATCTGCATATAACAGGTTGTTAATGAGTCTTTCTCCAATCCTGATGCCCCGTTTGTCTTCATATAGTCCAGCTTCTTGGATTATTTGCTCAGCGTACAGATTGAATAAGTATGATAAAAGGATACAACACCTTTCCTGACTTTAAACCACACAGCATCTCCTTATTCTGTTCAAATGACAGCCTCTTGGTCTATGAATTAGTAAGTTCCTCATGAGGACAGTTATACATTCTGGAATTCCCAGTCTTCACAATGTTATCCTAATTTGTTGTGATCCACACAGCCAAATGTCTTTGCATAGTCAATAAAACACGGGTAAACATCTTTCTGATATTCTCTGGTTTTGGCCAAAATCCATCTGACATCAGCAGTGATATCCCTCATTCCACATCCTCTTCTGAATCTGGCTTGAACTTCTGGCAGTTCCCTGTTGATGTACTGCTGTAACCATTTTTGAATGATCTTCAGCAAGATTTTCCTTGCATGTGATATTAATGATATTGTTCGATAATTTCTGCATTCCATTGGATCACTTTTCTTTGGGATGGGCACACATGTGGATCTCTTCCAGTTGGTTGGTCAGGGAGCTGTCTTCCAAATTTCTTGACATAGATGAGTCAGCACCTCCAGCGTTGTATCCATTTATTGAAACACCTCGGTTGGTATTCCATTAATTCCTGGAGCCTTGTTTTTCATCGTTCCCTTCAGTGAAGGTTGGACTTCGTCCTTCAATACCATCAGTTCTTGATCATATGCTACCTCCTGAAATCGTTCAACATCAGCCAATTCTTTTTGGTATGGTGACTCTGTAGATTCCATCTTCTTTTGATGCTTCTTGTGTCATTCAATATCTTGCCCATAGAATTCTTCAATATTGCAACTTGAGGCTTGAATTTTTTCTTCAGTTCTTTCAGCTTGAGAAATGCCAAGTGTGCTCTTCCCTTTTGGTTTTCTAACTCCAGGTCTTTGCACATTTCATTATAATACTTTACTTTGTCTTCTCAAGTCACCCTTTTAAATCTTCTGTTCAGCTCTTTTACTTCATCATTTCTTCCTTTTGCTTTAGCTCCTCTACATTCAAAAGCAAGTCTCAGAGTCTCTTCTGACATCCATTTTGATCTTTTTCTTTCTTTCCTGTCTTTTTAATTACCTTTTGCTTTCTTCATGTATGATGTCTTTGCATAACTTGTCTGGTCTTAGGTCATTAATATTCAATGTGTCAGATCTATTCTTGAGGTGGTCTCTAAATTCAGGTGCGATATACTCAAGGTCATATTTTGGCTCTCGTGGACTTGCTCTAATTTTTTTTAATTTTTAATTTTTTTGAAGCTGAACAAATTAGTCCTCTTGTAGGTAACCTATTTCCCAGCTGCATCAGCCAAATCTCTTCAGCCCAGATGAAGGGAAAGTGAGGCTCTCAATTTTGATATCTGTTAGGGCAAAACCCCTCCCTTGTATTTTTAAGTCTTCTTCAAAATAGTTTACACTTTATATAAATATCATATTCTGTTTATTCTTCCAGAGAATATAAAAAATAAGTATGTCAATTCTCCCAAAAATTTCTCTAGGCATTTTTACTGGAATTGTATTGCATTTGTACTGAATTTCTTTCATTAATAAGGGTTGGCCCCCAAATTTCAGAATTGTGGGAATTAATAAGCCCTCATACTTAAATGAATGCGCTATTTCCTCTGCTCCATTGCCAAACACAGCAGTAGCAGTAGCAGAGGAGAGGAGCTATTTTCCATTCTTGGAAAACCTCTAAATACTCCTGGAACTTAATAGCTTGTGCCCTCCCATACAGTAAAGTTAGAGCTCACTGTCTACAACAAATATGAATTCTGTATAGGCTTTTGGAATAGTGACATGCCATGTAAAGTATATAAGATGAAGAATCTATACTTCTTCCTCATTCTTTCTTTGCTGAAAAAAAAATTTTAAAGGAAGCAGAAGCATTGGAAGCAATCTGAATGTAGATGTGTAAATATAGGTTGAGTATTATGTCCACAGTATATAATTTTTTAACATGTCTGTTTGCAGGATGCCATGAGTTTTAATAAGTTTAATGTTCTCCACTGGCATGTAGTTGATGACCAGTCTTTCCCTTATCAGAGCATCACTTTTCCTGAGTTAAGCAATAAAGTGAGTAGTTCATGTTATTGTTGTCTCTGTCTACAAAAATTTTGGGTATAATTTCATGAGAAGTTTGTATCTTAAATGTTTCTTCTTATGAATAGAATTAAAGCAAAACATATGTTTGTGTGGCTTTTAATTTTTCTTTTAACAATGCTATGGCTTAGCATTTTGGATCCATAAAACTTATTTTTGTTATTGTTATGTTATTTTAAAAATGTTTAGAGACAGTACAAATATGATTTTCAAAACTTAATGAATGTAGGAGACCTGAAGTATTCATGAATAACATAAGGTTAAGATATTATATTTATCATGTGGTCCAGCTATATATTTGTTTTAAATAGCACTGTTTTGAATTCTTTAAATGACTTTTTTTTTTCCTCTCTGAAAAACCACATGAAGTAGAGAATTTCAGAGATGAGAGCTTTCTTGGAAAATGGTGGTCTCAGTTGGAAGTGTTCAGATTGATTGTACTGTAGACCAGTGGAGCTGGGAAGGATCCTCAATATCAACTAGTTTAATCCCCCTGTAATACAAAAAAGAAGCTGGTGTCCAGAGAAGTTATGTGTCTTGTTCAAAGTTGCACAATTAGGAAGGGGCAGAGCCAGAACTCTAAATGTTCTCTAACCACAATTCCAAAGCCTTCTCCTATGTTATAATGTAATTTAGGCTGAATGCTAGCAGCACTTGTGTTTTTATTTGCTTTTGTTTTATCTTTTATTATGGAAATTTTTACTCAGCAATATTTATCAGTACATGACCAATTCTGTATCACTGATACTCTCACTGACTCCCCCAACCAGTTATTTTGAAGCAAATCCCAGACATTATATCTCACCTGTAAAAAGTCCTGTTTTTTTTTAACCGTAATACCATTATCATACCTAAAAAATTAACAATAATCCCTTAATATCATGAAATATCCAATCAGTATACAAATTTCCCCATTTCTCTTTTCCTTTTTTAAAAAACATTTATTTGAATTGAGATGCAAATAGATTTGACCTGAGATGCAAATAAGGTCCATACACTGTGGTCAGTTGATGTCTGTTAATTCTCTTTTGATCTGTAGGTCCCCTCTCCATTTCTTTTTAAAGAATCTAATTCATTTGTCCTGTAGTTTCCCAGTCAAGGTTTTGCTGATTGCATCCCCATGGTGCCATTTTACATGTCCTTCTGTCCCCTGTATTTCCTATAAATTGGTAGTTAGGTCTAGTCTTGATTAGATACAAATTTGATTTTGGGGAAGGGCGGGGGAGACTATTTTTCAGGAGTTGAGCATTTATAGCCCATACCTTGAGAAATATGCTACAGTAACACCTTTAATGGATCTTTGTCTTTAGTTACAACCAATATTGAGTTCCATATTGATTTCTAAAATGGACTGAAGGTAATCTGTAAAAAAAATCAGGTGAATTATTATAGAGTCTATGGGGGAATTTTTAAAGCTAAATAGTAAAATGACTTTGAAAGAAAACAGCTATGCTTTGTAATAATGTGTGTATTTTGATTCTAAGATTCACAAGGGCAATGTATTCAGAGTTTTCATAGGTTTCACTTTGGAGACAAACATTTTATTTCCATTTTGTTGTATAGTTAAATGAGGTTGCATCACGGGAGGCCTTCTTAAAACAGGAGGCACAGGTGGAAATAAGTACCTCTATCAGTAAATCTGAGATTAACCAAAGTGTAGTGAAAGTTTATTGAGAAAATACAGTAACAAATCAAATGACAAGAACCCCAAAATGGTATTTCATTCTTTGCATGGATTTAGTAAAAATTCATTTTTTGTTTTTAATAGCTTCTCTATTCCTGAAACTATGTGTACTGTAGTATTTTTAAATACGTAATTCAGCATCATACAGAGACTATTGAATACGTTGTTAGGCTGTAAATCAGCTATCAGATATCAAATTGCAAAGAGAATTGTTGACAATTTCTAGGACAAAATCCAGTTTGCACATTTTAACCTTAATACGTGTGGCTTTTACAGGGAAGCTATTCTTTGTCGCATATTTATACACCAAATGATGTCCGTAAGGTGATTGAATATGCTCGATTACGAGGGATTAGAGTCATTCCAGAGTTTGATTCCCCTGGACATACGCTGTCTTGGGGAAAAGGTAAGGAGTTTGTGTTTTGTAAGTTGCATAAAGTGGACATTTGAGGTCCTGCATCTCTTATTTTACGGCTTGCTGTTTGCTCATTTTGTTCTCAATTGTGATTTGTACAAAGGTAGCACTATTGACAGATATAATTTAATATTATATGTCTACCATGAGCAAGGCATTGTGCCTAGGCACTGCCTTAAGTATAAAATAAACAAGGGATAAAGGACAACAAATAATGAATACAACAAGTTGAACACAAGTGAATTCAAGAAATGGTTTCATGGGTATGGTAATACTTAACATGCATTTGAGAAAGTAAATAACACATTCATGTTTCTGGTAAAGGGAATAGTATGAGGAAAGGCATTAAAAAGTATGAGATGTTTGACAAGTATTTGATTGGAGTATAGTGTAGCAAAGAATAAGAGGTACTATAGGGTGGTGGTTAAGAATTTAGGCTCTGGAGCTGGACTGCCTGAGTTTGAATTTTGCTTCTGCCATGTATAAACTGGGTGACTTTGGGCAAGTTATATAACACCCAGCCTCAGTTTCTCCATCTCTAAAATGGGGATATTGTTAGTTGCTATCACATAATTGTTTTGAGGATTAAATAATGAATGTAAAGCAGTGTATAGCATTTATAAGTGCTCAGTAAATATCGTTAGAGTAGACATGGGGAATAGTGGGAAACAGGTCTGGAAAAGTACCTTGTAGAGGACCTTGGGTGATGAATGTGGGCTACATCACAACACACTGGAAACCAGTGAAAGTTTCTGAGCAGGAGTGACATGATGGGAGCCAAACTTTAGGAAAACTTTTGTGAAAGTGACAGATTGGAGGGGGAAGGAGACTGAAATTCTAGACCAGGATGGCGATAGCAGGAATGTAAAATAATGGACAGAACTGAGAAGCATTCTGGAAATATAATCCACAGAACTTGGCAACTGATTGACTCTAAGGGGAGAGGGAAGAGTTACAAACTGGGATGATGGTGGTGCCCTTATACCAGAATACGGAAATCAGAAGCTAAAGAAAGAGGTTAGGGAATGGAGAGTTTAGTTTTTTGTTAGACTGTATTTGAACTGCAGCTGGGGTATCTAGCTGTATGCAGCAGGGAGTCTGAAATGTGGATTGATGCTCAGGAAAAAAGGTTGAGGTGAGCTGGAGATGTCAACTTGGGAGTCATTAATATTCAAGATAATATTTGAAGTGGATAAAATCTCAGAGACTGGATGGAAACAGAAACAAAGAGGCACTGGGTTAGGATTCAGGAAACAATCCTCCCTCATCTTATTTGGAAGAAATTACCTAGTAACTCTTAGTAAACATACTTATCTTTTTCTGTATACAATCTTTTATAGCTTCAACAAAACAAAGTAGTATAATCATGTGCAAAGCTGTGTCTTTATGATTTAAAAGCTTCCTTAAAAACCTTCATGTGTTTTTCCAGGTCAGAATGACCTCCTTACACCATGTTACGATGCACAAAAGCCATCTGGATATTTTGGACCTATAAACCCTACTGTGAATACAACTTATAACTTCCTGTATAAATTTTTCAAAGAAATTAGTAAGGTGTTTCCAGATCAGTTCATTCATTTGGGAGGAGATGAAGTGGAATTTTACTGCTGGTATGATAATTCTTTAAAACCCTTGTTATTATTATTTTTTCAACTGTTCCATTTGAAGCAGCTATGAGTATCTCCCCATAAAGATGGAAGAACTGGGGTATCACATCTGCTTGTAAGGATTTAAACTGGCAACACAACTCCCGAGATGGTGAATTTTTGTAGAAGGTACATTTTGGTGGTATGTCAAAGTGAAAGCTTAAGGAAAGACAATCAAGAAGCGGAAGGAAATGAAGATTTAAAAAAAAAGATTAGTGAAAGAGAAAGGCTGTAGTAAAAGTGGGCAATGATTTAAGCGAGAATTTTTCAAATAAAAATCCTCTTCACAAGTAACATTAGATGAAGGAGAGAGGCAGGGAGTAGGGAAAACCATTTTTATGGGAAATCAGCTTCTAGAAAGAAAACTATTTGCAGTGGAAAACTAAGATAACACATAGTTAAGTTTTTAGGCTTACTTTACTCCCTACAAACCTTAATAGTTTTATATGTGAACAACTGATGTTAGAGAGTTAAGATATAAAACGTTTAATGAAATTTTATTCACTCTTTTTGTTTAAGGGCATCAAATCCAAAAATCCAAAATTTCATGAAGCAAAAAGGCTTTGGCAAAGATTATAAAAAACTAGAATCTTTCTATGTTCAAAAGTAAGTTACTTGAAAGCCTACTTTTATTTCACTAATGCCTTTTGTAAAACTTTTGGTTATTATTTAGTAGTTTATTTTTCATTTTCTCCCCACCCCTTGCGAAAGTGTAGATGTTGTAAAAATCACTAAGGAGGGAAGGAGTATCCATTGCTTTCTTTAAATCATTACCATGATGACTCTTAAGTCTTTTGCAGTAACTGTTGAAATTCAGGAGCCCAGTCATCTGTTCTAAGAGCTCAGCTCGAAGCCCTGGCTACCCTGTGAGATCTTCACCACCACCTAGCTCCTGGTATTCATTCCCTTTGTCACCTCCAGGAGCATTTCTTTTACTGTATAGCTGCATTGTCCAGTATGGTAGCCATAGCCACCATGTGGCTCTTTACATTTCAACTGACTAAAATTAAAGAAAATTAAAAATTCAGTTCTGCAATTGCAATAGCCAAGTGCCCAATAACCACATGTGGCTAGTGGCTACCACGGTGGACAGTGCAGGTATAGAGAATTCCCATCATTACAGAAAGTTCTACTCGACAGTACTGCTCTATACCAGGGGTCAGCAATCTTTTTCTGTAATGGGCCAATAGTAAATATTTCAGGCTTTGTGGGCCACATACAGTTGCATATTTTTCTTTTTTAAACAATTCTTTTAAAAATTTAAAAACCATTCTTAGCACATGGGCCGTACAAAAATAGGCCATAGGCTATACTTTGCCAACTCCTGCTCTATACCATTCACTTGGCAAGCCCAGATTCTAGCCTTTTTCTGTTTAGCTTTTTGTGTAATGCATTCTTTTTTTCTTTTTTTTTTAATCTTGTAGAGCACTTGGCTTTTTATAAATATCTGTAGACTGTCTGCAACTGTTGAATGTTATCTAGGTGATATGACAGGGTAAACTATGGTTTCCTTTATTCTAAGACATCCATAAAATTACCAGAAATTGCTGTTAATACACTTCTCTGAGTTGCCTGCCAATTCACTTTGAGGCCACTTCTTCCTATCTTAGGGGCACGCTTAGCTCACTCATTCAGCAAATGACTACTAACTACCTATATATACTGTGTTAGATACTGAGCAGTGTGTAGGAAGAAGGAACTACAAGGGTCACTTAACTTTAGCTGGCTCTGCTCTAAAGCTGTGTTATACTTAAAGGCACCTCTCAACATTACAAGTAATCCTTGGTAGAATATGTGCACACTTAAACATATTGTTAAACTTGTGATCTGAAATACTTTGTAATTTTTTTTAATGCTAGGCTTGTGGACATTATTGCAGCAGTAAACAAGAGCTCTATAGTCTGGCAAGAGGTTTTTGATGGTAATGAGAAGGTAAGAGAGTAAAGATTGTATCTGATTCTGTAATACAAATGCCTTAATATTCTAACATGTGGAATGGAAGGAACCTTCATGAATCTGCCCCCAACATCACATCAATTAACTTACCCTTCCATTTAAACTTTTTTTTAGGCAGTAGCTATAGCCTAGGACCGGTGATAATGCATTTGTTTCTTTTCTTCCATTGACTTCACTCCTTAGTGCCTCTTCCTTCTCATCTCTTCCTCTACCCCTCTTTCATTAAGCACAAGCTGAAGTACTTTGAATTGAGTCCCTCTTTTCAGAAGCACAGAACAAACAGATAAGAAAAAAATGAGTCTTTATTGTTATTAAGGTAGCTTTACAGTAAAATTGTCAATGTAAACTTTTTTTCTCACTGAGGTAGTCAGAATTCTTCATTTTTCTTGGGGTAACTGGGAATTTGCAAGTTCACCTACCAGTATTACCTTCCCACAGGGGTTGGAGACATCCTCACAGTTCCAAAGTCAAATGTTAGTATGGTAGAAATGGATTAAAATGTAAAGCTTAGCCTTAGTTCATTGCACCTATATGGTGTCATATGTGTAGGCAAAAGTTAAATATCCAGCCTTAAGGTTGATGAAACTTCTCACCTTAAAAGTCCCTACAGTGCATTTAAATCCCTAGTCCATGTGGCACTAACTCTGAGGGAGAAAAAGAAAATGTAAATATGCTTTTTCAAAGATCTTAATTCTTTTCTAGCTATAATGCCTTGGACTTTCAGTTTCATCTACTGTATTTGCTAAACCTACTAATATGTATTGCATCTGCAACTTTAATAGCTTCAGCCAGGCACAGTAGTTGAAATATGGAAAGCAGAGAACTATCCTAAAGAACAAACCAAAGTCACAGAAGCTGGATACCCTATAATCCTTGCTGCTCCTTGGTACTTAGATTTGATTAGCTATGGACAAGACTGGAAAACATACTATGAAGTGGAACCTCTTAATTTTCCTGGTAAGTGAAGCAACTGCCTTTACCTTGGTTTGTTAGTCCTCTTCCCTACCCTCCCACCTGGGAAATCCTTACCTAGGTATTACCTACTAACTATTACCCTTTTATGCTTGGTCCTTGATTTTGAGATGCTTTAGGTATGTGTGTTTATTAGAAAAAAAAAAAAAAGGAAGACTCGGAGTATCATCTTAAACACTGTGAAAGGAGTCATCCCACTTTCCACATTTTGAAGATGTTTGACTGCATTAACCTTGTATCTCCTCCTCTGAAGAAAGGATCTAGTCTAGTTCAGTGGATTTCATCCTTGAGGGCATGGGCAGTGAGAGTGTCCGAGCTGTAGAGCTTCAAGCCCTCAGACCCCTCTTCACTGAGAACAGTTCTACTTTGTCCAGTTTTGTACATCATACCTTAGTGTAAAATTTTCCTTTGAAAAAAGGATTTTGCTGTTTAAAAAAATAGTCTGAAAACTATAGGGCTATTAAAAATTGATATTAACTACTTCTCTAGAAAGCATTTTCTGAGGATCAAAAAGCCATAATTATTGTAAAAAAAAGTATTAGGTACTCTTTTTTTTTTTTTAATATTAAGTAGAAATCTAAAGCAGGAATAGTGGTCCCAGCCCATTAATAACGAAACTAATGTTCCAACTTGTATTCCCTGGCACACTATTAATAGGTACCTGAGGGGAAAATTACTTCTGGTGTTCAAATAGGTTTGCATTAAACCAAATAAAATGGTATCTTTAATACTTGCCCACCCCATTTAGTTTTCATATGCCAATAAGCACTGTGCATCATGGGCTGGGTTGGGGATAAAGTTTGCCTCTGTATACAAGCCTTGAACTACAACTATTCACATCAAGTCAATGATTTCAATGTAGGTTCTCAGGAACAGAAAACACTCATGATTGGTGGAGAAGCTTGCCTATGGGGAGAATTTGTGGATGCAACTAACCTCACTCCAAGATTATGGTATGCAATTTAATTGATAATATGTGAGTTAAGAAATAAGGTGCCTTAGCTTTCTTTCTCCATCCAAGTGGGAAAGCACTAGGAATTTCCCCAAGCATATGATTTAGAGACTTGCTTAAGAAAACATGAATTTAAAGTACTTTGGGGGATGTGTGGCTTAAATTTTAGGCCACGGGCAAGTGCTGTTGGTGAGAGACTCTGGAGTCACAAAGGTGTCAGAAATTTAGAAGATGCCTACCACAGATTAATAAGGCACCGCTGCAGAATGGTCAGGTAAGACAAATAGTTATTTTTCAAGCTATTATTAGGTTCCACATGATTTTTAACCCTCTTATTCTGTGTTAGCTAACTTCTTGTTTTTTTGCTATAAATAGAAATGCATGTCACTTAAGAAGTAGTGATTTATTAAGAGAAACTGGGAACTGTATTTTGTAGGAAAAGAATAATACCAATAAGAAGATATATTTGGACTTAACAACTACGTTATAGATATATTAAATTTTGGTGTAATGTAGAAAGCCATCTCTAATCACTCTAACATATTTAACAATCTTGAGTGATTCTTCCTCTCCCCACCCCCTGTAATTATGCTATGGTTTGGTGATTCTGATTTAAGCTACTAAATTCTTTAAGATGGCAGATGAATTATATTAACATCTTTTATTCATACTTTATCTTTCTGCAGACGTGGAATAGCTGCACAACCTCTTTTTACTGGATATTGTAACTATGAGGAGAGTACATAAAAATAGCCTAAACAAAGAAGACAAATAGGAGGGGAAAAAAGGCCACAGCAATCTGTACTACAATCAATTTGACTTTGAAATCATGGAAATTAAGATTTGTGAGACTGTGTTTGGAATAAAATATATCTTTTTATTGATAAAACCTTTATCTTATTTTAAATTAGGTACAGAAAAATGGCATCTTCCTTGTGAGACAGTTAAAACAAAACAAACACTTTGTGCTACTGTTCAATATACTCAAAGGGCTAAGTTTTTAATACTGATTAATCTGCATTAAAATATATCAACAATGATAACTTCATGATACACAAGAACATTTACACAGGTATGTTACATTTCAAAGTACACTTCTCATTATATAGAGTGGACAGCTCCAGTGCCACTGCCAGTCAGTCTTCAAGTTACATCTTTTATCTAGTTCTCTGTACTGAAACAGTAATGTATTTACCCAACAAATAAAGCAATAAACCTTACATTATCTTACTGAAAATGAAGGAGGTAGGTGCTCCTGAATTTCTCTCCATTTCCCAGGACCTAAAACCCTTTGGCAAAGCCACTTCTCTGGCTGAGCAATGTACGTTGGTCCTGAGGATTCATGGCTTGATAACTCGATAGTTCTAAGGCAAAAGTAGCTGAGCCTGATGTTATTGTTCGAAGCACAGTTGAATAACCCTAATCAAAATAATTTCAGTCAGTTATTTCATCAAATTTAAGCCCCAAGTTTCTCTTCCTATTGCTTATCTAATGGCCATTATCAGGGAAAGATGATGATGTTACTCATGTGGCTTAGCCATATTATTTCTTTCAAACTGTTCATTTAGCCATTTTTCTATGGAAATTAAATATAAAACTATTATTGTGGAGGACAGAAAACATAATAGTTGTCTGTGGAGTGGAGGCATGCTTCAGATATATTCTCTAGCCCTGGCATTTGGTAAGATGACTCTGCCTTCCCTATTACTCTGCTGGTAGGTACTCAGGTGCCTGTCCGAGAGGAGAAGAGGCTGATGGAGAAGAACGACACTTGCCTTAAAGCTGCAAGTGGTAGAAGTAGGATAAATGCTTAGGAGGGGAAAAAATGGTCATTTAGGCTGATGCGACGCTTTGGTGCAGCATATCTCAACCTTGGTGGTGCTAGGACTGGAAATAACCCCTGAGAGGCTGTAACCCACTGGACTTCCCCAACAACTTAAATCCAAAGTTGTAACAGTTCCTAATGGTTGAAACTTAACATGCATTCTCTAAATCAAAGCCCTGATGCTTTTTCCAGGTGTTACTGATTGTCTATTTTTGCTTAGCACATATATCCCCTGTATTAAAAAAAGAACATGCACTTCTCAGTTACAAAGTACCTACCATAATTTCTGCCAAGGGAACAAATCCAACAACAACTTTGTTGTCCTGGCGAGTCTGAATTTCCTGAATGTTCCCTCTTCTTTGTGCCAGATCTGCCAGGACAGGGCTGAGGTACTCTCTAGTCACTGTAACCTCGAGATTCATCAGAGGCTCTAAAACTTGCTTATCTGCTTTCTTCAGAGCCTAAAGAAATTAAAGTATGTTAATCTCACTCGCTGAAATTGGAAATCAAATTTCTGTTTTAAAAAAAAAAAATGGGGCCGGGGGGAAAATACATACAAATTTTCAAATAACTGCCTAGGCTCTTGCAAAAAGACATAAGCTTGCTGTAATCTTCTTTATAAAGATAACATTATCAGTACAAATGATAATGACAAAACAGTACAAACTTCAATATTTGTACATGTGTGATATAATGTAAGATTTCCTGTATGATACATTGCAAGGGGTAAAGCTTGATTACATTGAACCTTTCTGTGAACATGTGGCCAGAGAAACAGAAAAAAGCTTTCCCCTTTAAATCGAAGATTCGTTTCTTCATATTTAAATCTCATGTTTCTGTTCCTGAGTTATAGTCCATGCCACATGTCAGAGAGGGCAATCAAGGGAGGAAATAAAGGGGAGAGATTTAAAAAACAGAAAAATTCAACACAATTAAGGTACTAGAAATACATTTTCTATTTAAAATAAATACTGTCTTGCCTAACATCTGTTTAGATTTTAGCCTTCAAATGTGAAGAAGCGCATGCACATGAAGAAAACAATATGGAAACTGAAGAAAAGAGCTAAATTAGTGCAAGGAAAGTAGAAGTGGAATAAAATCGGAGAAGTAGCAACACAAAGAATATTTTTATTGAAGGTCCCAGTCAGATACCTTTCTTTAAAGTATCATTACATGAGATAAATTGGTAAAGAGGTTTTGGATGGAGTTTGCAAGCACCATTAATACTGGTAGATTTGATATAAAAAGCTATCCCACTTCTGCTTGCTAGAGTTCAAAAGTAGTAAAATATTTTCCTATGAATTCTAAGTGTCTGGTAGTCAGGTGGATTGTAGTAAACTTAAGTTTAACAATGAGAATCAGAAAAGTAAGAGAGAAAAGGCTCTGGAATGTGCCCTCACCCTTACCTGGATTTAGCTGATAATCTTTCTTCCTGTGCCCGTTTCTCATTATTTCTAAAGCCTTAAACCAAACCAGCTGTTGTCAAGAAGATTCCAACTCATGGAGACCCCATGTGTGTCAGACTAGAACTATGCTCTATAGGGTTTTCAAGGGCTCATTTTTTAGAAGTAGATCACCAGACCTTTCTTCCAATGCACCTCTGGGTGGACTTGGACCTCCATTAGCGAGGCTGTCCATTAGAACCTCCATTAGTTAATTGTTTGCATCACCCAAGAACTCCATTAAGGCATTATAATCTCCTATATCAAGCCAAACAATGGTTCTGGGCCTCTAACCTTTCTGTCCCTGATACCTCACTTCCTCCTCCCCTGTCCCCACCCTCACAATCATGAAAAATGGCCCAATCAGTAAAACAAAGAGTGTATTCTCTTTATCACAGATACTTAAAAAAAAAAAAAAATACACATACATAATAAAACCTAACCACTCAGTTACTTGACACTGATTAAGCCTTTAAAATCATTATCAACTCATCTGAAATGACCCACAATAAATTATCTGCCCAACATAGAAAATTTATCTAACAATCCTTTTTGGATGAAAATACTGAATTACTCAAAAACAGGGTCATCAGCAAGCAACTAACAACTTTCTTATGCTCTGTATTTTTGTAATCCTTACCAAGAGCTTTATGCCAGTTCTCATAATGTATTTTAGAGCAAAATAACGGAGTGGGAAAAGGTAAAATTAAGAGAGGGAAAAACGCTACAACTAAGGAAAGAACTGAATCCTATGTAACTAAATAGGACATCCCGTGTTCAAGGATCTGTCCTTAGTCCTCTTTCTTTTTCTCTTCACAATCTTTCCCTTGGCAATATTATCTAGGTGCAGAGCTTCAAAAACATCTAAGTGGCTTCCTCAAAAACTTTAAATTCTGTCTAGCCTACAGTCTCTGTGCTCCAGTCCTGTACCTCACTGGCCTGCTCTGGGATAGTATCTGAATATCCTAAAACTTCCCAATATGCCCCAAGTTAAGCTCATCGTTTTCTTTTCCAAACACTTTGCTCTGCTCTTCCCTTTTTCTGCCGATGGCACCTCTAGTCTTCAGTTTACCTGGACATGCATCTTTGACTATTCCTTTTCCCCAGTAAGCTGTAAGGTTTCCATTCCTCTTGCTGGTATCCTTCAGACCTAGTTCATTTCCTGCCCTAGATTGTCTCTTCCCAATTCCAAACCTGCGCGCTGAAGATTATACTTCCTTTTTCAAAAACTACTCATCACTGTTCTAAGATCAAAGTTCAAACTTCTTCATGTAGCTTTTAAAGGTTTCTCTGTAATCTGACCCCATTCTACTTTCCCACCTCCTGTCTTCATCTGATGCTAAAGCTGAAGAACTCTTCAATCTCCTCCACCTGGGATGTACCCCCCATGCCCAAATCATCCAAACTATCACAATTCAAATATTAAAATTTTTTCCAAGAATCTTCCTCAATTACCTACTTCCCAGCTTTTATGGTACTCAGCGCATTCTAACTAATATTTTGGCTATATTTAATTCTTTGACTAAACTGTAAGCTCCTTTAAAAGCTTATGATTTAGTAGAAGCAAGTTTTAGAGTGGAGGAGCAGTGAAAAAGAGGAAGACCCTCAATGAGATGGACTGAGCCAGTGGCTGCAACAATGGGCTCAAGCATAACAATGATCGTGAGGATGGCTCAGGACTGGGCATCGTTTCGTTCTGTTGTACATAGGGTTGCTATGAGTCGGAAATGACTCAACGGCACCTAACAACAAGAAGCTCCTTTAGGTCAAGAAAAATGTATACATCATATTTGTGTCCTTCACAGTGCCCAGCATGGATAGCTCAATAAATATGGGAAGCATTGCTAACTTCTCATAAGCAGAGAGGAGGAGGTTCACCACTAGACAAAGTTTAACAAGAACAGGAGCACTTCCGTTAGGAGTATTTTATTTAAATTAATGAACTAAGACTAAAGGCTAAATTATGCTTCCCATCAAGTTAATTCTTGTTCTTTCATATGGCCTCAATAAAAATGCTAACCAAATCAGAAATACTTACAGATTTTACTTTTAGGAGGCATACTAAATTTTGAAGGACTGGCCAATGTACTGGGGCTTGGGGTTAATTTAGAAAATATATCAAATCATCTTCCAGAATATCATTATTTCAATACACAACCAATCGCAGGAGAAACTTTAAAAATTACTGGAAGATGAATGTTCTCAACTTCAACAATTTAATCATGACAACTTTATAGATACTATTTCTTTTTTTTTTTTTTAATTTGTTGTGCTTTAAGTGAAAGTTTACAATTCAAGTTAATCTCTCATACAAAAACTTATACACACATTGTTACTTGACCCTAGTTGCTCTCCCTATACTGTGACAGCACACTTCTCCCTTCCACCCTGGATTTTCCGTGTCCATTGAACCAGCTCCTGACCCTCTCTGCCTTCTCATCTCACTTCTGGACAGGAGCTGCCCATTTAGTCTCACGTATCTACCTGAGCTA